TGTACTAATTTCAATATAAGTTTAGCAAGGATGTTTAACAAGGATTTAACATATTAAATACTCAGGATACAACCCAAGTACTTTTCAATTTTCTAAACTGTGCCCCTATGAAATGTACCCGGATTTTTTTATAGGGATATTATAGCAAGGGGTAACTGCAGTCATCATCGTATTATCGTTTTAAATTTATTCTTGCACATTTTATTTCGCTTAATACCATGCCATCAACAATTAAAAAAAATCTTATTGATTAAATTGATTAAAATTAATTAAAATTGATTAAAACTGATTATTGAATCAGAATTAATTAAAATTAATTATCAATTATTATGTTAAAGCAGCATTTTAAATTTAAACCTAGAAATTTAACCTTTTTAAAGGGAATAATAGGCTCACGCCGAACACATACAACTTTATTTATGAAATTTATGAATTTATTTAGTATTAATAATGTAATAACAAAATTTTAAGATATCAAAATTTAAAGATTCAGTCCACAAAATTTCGTAATGATAAAATGATGCTGGACTGAATAGCAAAAAATAAACCAAAAAAAGGGTTTAGTTTGTTAAAAGCATTAACAGAAATTCATTTGTTGTAATAATTTAAAATGGATTTTGAAAATTTATGATAAATTATTGCTATATAACAACTAGGGGGCCCAAACCCGTAAGTGTGATTTTTCAGAAGTACAACCAAATCCAGATTTCATCATACGAGATTTAACTATACATCCCCAATATACTGTAACCCAAACATCAGCCCATACATTGCTAGGTTTATTGCTACTATAAATTGGCCATAAGGAGGTGTATGTGGTACTACTCGGCTTTAAAGTAATACCACAAAATACGTCATTAGCCCAGTAAGAACCATCAAAAATTTGTTCATGGTGGCCATTGTCATCACTAAATACCAAATTGCCGAGCGCTAGTGGGTCCTCAGGAGCACTAACTGTAAGATTGAGATATGTATATCGATCTAAATTTTTATAGTAACAAATTGCTCCTCCTCCTCCTACAAGCTGTGGTTTATCAAATTCTACCCAAGAGGCAGATATAATTTGAGCACCACAAGCTATGAAAAGAAAAGTATTAATTTTTCAAGGTTTATGA